TCATGTAGCAGACGGTACCAGATCTTTGTGAATCACACTATTTCTCAAATTTGGTTTGAGGGCAATCAGAATTAGAGTTTCTAAAATACTTCATAGAACCTAAAAGAGTTCGTTGTTTTCCTACTGTCTCTTACAAACAGAACATCACATGGAAGATATCATGCATCTTGGTAATGATTTTTGATGGATGGCTTGTTATGGGAAGACACGATGGTGATGGCGGCCGCTCGGCATTCTTTTCCTTATTCTTTCTCCTAAGCTGGAAAAATTGCTGCATTGTGTCCGCACATTCTGATGCCAATATCCCACGTCTGATTGTCATTTTCGGGTGGAATGGATGGACTGGAGCTGCTGGCTTGTCTGTTGGTTCTGAGCCATTTCCTCCTCCTCTCCCATCAGGGAAAAGTCTGCAAATATAGGGGAATTGCCTTAGAAAAATTCCTCCTCTATTTCCCTAGTCGGCTTTCATATGAAGACCAAATATTACAATAAGCAGCACTTTTTTTCTTTTCTTTTTTATTGTAAAAATCGTTATGTTGCAATTAATCAAAATTAGGAATTAGGGAAAGCAGAAATCATATATAACAGCTTTGTATGTGACAGTGACACATTACAAGCTATTCAGGCCATTTCTAGCTTGAAATATAGTGTCTTCATATTCTACTGACATGAGAAACACTCCATTCTTGATGAGTGAACTCTACTCCATTCTTGGCCCAAAAAAGAGAAACACTCTCCACAAGGCATAAATGATATTGATAATAAGGCAGAATTATATTTGTTCTCATATCAGATTACACAACTCATGCTCCAAACATTCAGTCAGTATTCCAATAGAAAGGACCAATGATGCATCTTTTAGTTTTACGGCACTGGCATTCACAACAGCGAGGCATTCAAAGACAAGAACTCTGCTGAAAAAAACTGTTGAATCTTACAGTTATAAAATCCACAGGGACTAGTAACAGGTAAAGAATTCATTGTCATACCTAATCCAGCTGCCATCTGCTCCTAGAAGCTTATTGGGAGCTCCCCACACGAGAGTGTCGACTCTTGCCTGAAGTATTGCTCCAGCACACATAGGACATGGTTCAAGTGTGACATAAAGTGTTGTATCCTAGAGGAGCAAATGATTCAATTACAAAAATGCACCACCAAATGGCTTGACTCAGGAGCCAGGAGAATTAATAATTTCTAAGATACATATCAAGTGAACCTTCATGATAAATCATCATTCGCATTAAAATTGACGCACCCTTAGAAAATAGTAGCAGATATTGGTTAGCAAGTTCATCAAACCTTCCAGCTATAACTACAAAGCTAACACTCTTTAGACAATTAAGTCCATTGCGAGTGAGGAGACTGCCTTGCTAATTACTGCACTCCAAGAGAAACGGGCGGGCACAAGCATTTTGCTAGGGCTATTTCTCTTTTGTCAATGAATCGTAGCTGAACACATGTAAATTATCATACATGTAATCA